TAACAAAAAACATAAATTAGGTGTGGAAAAAAACGAAAAAATGAAGCCAAAGCATTAAGTCATATGAGGCCCACATCGAACACTACGCTTCGCAACAACCTCTGTCCTTTAAAAGGAAATCCATGTTTTCCATTAAGTGAGCGGGCAGATCCGAGTCTGTTTTTGAATTGCTCAACACTTTGGCATGTATACTATGTATAAATATAATTGCGTAAAAGCATTGAAAACACGATACACTAGATATCTCAATAGCCACCTATTAAAGATGAAGTCAAAAACGTGCTGAATAGGAAGAAGTGGGAGGAACAAAGTTTGGACTTCTTTTTTTTATACATATTTCGTTAGTTGTTCACAATTCACAATCCCGGTGATCGCGAACCAAATTTTGATTTTAGATGGAAATAAAAAGAAGTCTCGACTGTTCCGTTGAAAGGAGGAAATTCTACTTGTGTGCATTGATGGTGACAGTTTGCAGGTGATATATCGATATATTGATTTTATAGCACGACTCACCGTTTGTGTAGTTTTTTTGTAAGCGGACACACAGCTCACGGCCCCCGTAACAGAAAACTGAAAAACAAAAACACAATTATTGTACAATTTCTAGACCAATAGTTGAGTCGAAATCATGAAATATTCAATCATATTTTAATAAATCAATATGTTTTAATGGAGGGAAATCGTAGAGAAACATGCCATTGTCAAATCACCGCCTTTTGATTGCAATGAAAAACAATTACTAGTATACAGTGTGCATTAGAAACCTGTGTGGACTTTATCAATGTTTCATATTTTCAATTTTATAAATTTAAAATTGCTATTAGATTTCAAATTAATCAACCAACAAAAGTGTTGTGGCAAAATTTATATTAATAAGCTCAACGTCATTCAGTCAGCAAACATTCGAATTTGATTAAGTGGGCGGTCAAGAAACAATATCATTGGTGACATGGTTGTAAAAATTGGGCTTAGACAATGTTGAGTTCTCGCACTAAAACAATTTGAATGAAAGCTGGAGGAGTGGTTTATAAATATGCATTTATAAACAACGACACAGGCTTCTGTCGTGCACTAATTTTACAGCGGGCACAATATATTTACATACACCTAACTCCTGCACCTGGTAGGCAATTACCAAGGGACTTTGCAACATCCCCAGGCACTTTCCTGGACACTCCAGTGAAATCTGTATTAAGGTAAGTGGATTACTATTGAATCTACAAATACTTACCAATGTGCCACACCAGTAAGGTGCCCCTATGAAAAATAACTGCGTCTTAATGACGACAGACACTATGCCAAACATTATAAGAATGCCTCCTAATATCACTTGGCTGATTCCCAATCCGGCGGCTATTCTGTGAGAGAAGTGTTTTCTTCTTCCATGTCTACTCGGCGCAGCATGCTGCATTGGGATTGGTCCCTGGACACCGACAACGTCTTCCCTTCCTTGATGGCAACTCATTCTGGGAAAATCCGAAATTAATGCTTTGTTAATTTTTGTAACAATTCGAAGTTTCCGGGGTTACAAATGCGGCCATGTGTGCCCGCTCCATCCTTCATCATCTCTTACGCAGATTACCTTTGGAATTCATAAAACACACAGCTGAATGTATTCTACACGCTACGTTGTATTAGTAAGCAGGCAAGTATATCGAACACGATGCGGCGCTTCATGTCTTTATATCAGTGCTTTTGACTAACTCTAGGCAAGACGATGTACAACAACTATGAATTTGAAATGTTGAAAAGCATAATTGATCCACGGAGTCAGAAATGATTCACACCAACTAATTATGTGACGATGGTCCAGTATTTAATTGATTTACTTCTTTAACAGCGCAGAATGGTTGAACTTGATGGCATTAGAGGGTTAACCATTAGAAACTCGAGGGGTAGCTCTTGAGAAAACAATTTTACAGGAAAAATGTATTCATAAAAACAAATCCCACACATTTAAAAATAAAATATAGCTTAAAGTTAAATATTTTATCTATAAGCAAATGTTAGTCTTCAATCAGACGAATTACTGACTGCTGAAACGATTGATTTCAGCAGATGCGTAATATTTAGTACTTCAATGACGTGTCTGTAATATTTGTTTCGCTCGGTTGAAAAACAGAGGGCGTGCTTGGAATAATTAAGAACATATATGTATAGACTACACATGGATATGACATTAAATAGACGAACCACTCGCGGTGTTATGCATACATTTTTTCCGTATGAACAAAGTTCATCTGTTCCATGTTACTGCTATTGTGATTATAAATTCAAGGAGCGAATCTAAAAAAAATAGTCTGCACGGAAAAATAAAATAATATCTGCTGAAAATTGGACAGCACACATGTTCTCAATTAAGTGAGTTCTGAAGAGAAAGAAAAAACATAGGAAGTCTCCATTCATGATCATATGCCCAATACAAAATTGTGACTGTAGCGCTTCTCGAGTTCATGATACCAAAATTACAGGTGAAGTATGCAAGCAAATAAAAAAGATGGCCGCCACCGAAAGCAGTTGGTAACGTCATATGATTATGTGGTCTCGCTGTGAAATATTTAGGGATAGTTGCTGTATCATTCAGGGTTTGTTAAGTTGAGTAGAGGTATTAACGAAAACAACATTGATTTTTTAAAGCAGGAACAGGGTTGAAAGTTGCCGTTGCTATGGCTTCTATCTAGTATAGCAACGACATAGCCAGTCGCCATATTGAATGTGCATTCGTTTCGAGTGCAAAGTTGCGTTGGAGGTTGAGGTCGATGCAGCTTCGAAATTATAATTTTAGACCCAGACCCCTCTTCAAATGACAAACTCTAATTGTGTCGTCGAAAAGTTTTAATGTTATATTATTTTGATCTGTCGCTGAAAAAGCTAGCACTCATGCACCCTGGATTTACCTACACAATCAAGTTCACGTACTGGTAATTCGAAAACGCAAGTGCACTAGCCTTTTCATTAATTTATCTAACGAATGCCACTGTGTTTGGTGTAAAAAAAACAACGCAACGCTAAAACATAGTCTACTGTCCGTATCAAGATGTGATATCAAACACAAGTGACAAATAAAATTACAACTTTCCTTCTTAAAATATTCATAGTATTGGTGTAAATACTAGTAATCATCAAACGGTTCGTTCGTTCATAAAGGACAGGAGGCATCAGACACGATCATACTGGATAATCATTGATTATTTTGATTCAGACACATCGGTAAATTATACCGTAGCATTCATTACTAATCAGTAACAATAATCTCAACAATCGCTGACGTCGTCAAAATTGACAAATAATTTCTTGGTCAGTGTATTGTCTAATTTGCATAACCAACCTATTTGCGCATGCCCTGAAGACATCATATTACATGTCTGTGTTGAAGGCCGTGTGATTCATTATGCAACACTCATCTATGCAAATAAAAGTTTTGTCAAAAGTTATCAGGTTTTGTATGAGACATTCCTCATAAAGATAAAAACACCTGCAATAAATATCAACACAAATGGCCGCTGAGGTTCCGTTGAACGAGAACGCTAGTATGAGACTTATTTTGGCCCTCGATTAATGTTCGAGACTTAATATTTTTAGTCAAATGTATAAATAACATGTATGCCTCGTTTATACCTTGGGAAAAATTATTTTTCATTTCCTGGGTGGATTCTCAGAACGATTTTGTTTTTCATCGGGCATTTCCCGTATTAATATAAGAAAATTCTCGTTTTTATCACGTACTCGTGAGTTTTATAATAGCATTTTTAATGATTCTGTCATTACTTTGATATTACCGATACCCTTCAATCAAAATCAACTGATTTTACTAGTATTTTATTCTAAGTTATGTTATGTTATGTAACGTGTTTTATGTATCATTCGATTGTTCCAGATGTTCCATTAATTGAGCTTTTTGTCTGTTACAAATAAAATATATATAAAAAGGTCACGGTCTATAAGTATTAGTTATCAGTGAAAAAATCATTAGTAATTTTAAATAAATCAACAGTTTCACGGTTCATTGTCCGGTTATGAACACTACGCCAAAGGCAATGCGTAGTTCCACGAGCAACACAGACATTAAAATAATACATTGAAACTGAAAAATCAGCTAATGGGTTTCCATAGTAACGGTTGTGTGACGACGTGTTTTGTAGCAGCATCACGTATACAGTAACCTATATAGAATGGGGTAATAATTGAACCATGGTGAAATATTGAATTATAGACAAACAAACGAATGCACGGGCTTTCCTGTTTGCTTAAAAATACATCCCCGAAAAATGAGCTTGGATAATTTCGTGTAGGAGGTATTCTGGGACGCATGCGCATTTGAAACTATTGTTTGCTGCCAAAACACTGTCTATTGCACAATGATTCAGACCTTTATTGCTGCAAGTAAAAGACAATGTCAACATTATAACTGCTGAAAAATTGACAAATCTATTCACATTGCCTTTAAAATTTATACTTTAAAATATTATTTTATATTTTGGGGTGATTTGTTATCCTTTTTGATTTTTGATTTTTTTTTGTTTTCGAGAAAATAATTTCGAGTCTCGGAACCTTCCAGCGGGAAAACACCGCCAACATTCTACTTAGTGTCAACCACGTGCACAACAGATAAGGTTTAAGGGCGGTTGTCGTCGCGCCGCGTTCTATTCGATATGGGACTCATAGCGACGTATACAACGCAATGTTTTTTTTACATGAAATTCGAACACGCGCTGAGCGACGACCGCCTCCCTTTAATTCAACTTTTGTACCATTGACCTTGTCATGTATCATCAATCTTGTGGAGAGTGCAAAAGCAAACATGCTGTGTAGACGTGATCCAGAGTCCCTCTATCGATAGAGGATATAGGGACTGTGCGTGATCTAATGAACACACGCGTCTTCAATCGGGAATGACTTGAATTGGATTCTTTGAAGTACATTCTGCCATCCTATCCAGGGAGGAACCCAGGGTTATGTGAATGTACGGTGTCCGAAGGGACTAGTATCCTCAAACTAGTAGTTCTATATTCTGTGACTATATTCGTAGATGCCATAGATCAAAACATAGAAAGCTAACGTCTAATAAAGTGTTCAATAAATTAAATTTGAATACACTGAATTATGCAAGTGACATTACCTAATTTGATTTAACTTCGCGTTAGGTGTATTTTGTAGTATGTCCGTGTTTTTAATTACCGACATTACCGAATTAGAACTTAAATTGGATTAAATCTTCAGCTTATGACAATCATGTGAGATGCGACGTTATTTTGAATAAATACATTAAATAGAAATTAATTCAATATTTAACTTTTTCACCACCAGTTCCCTCTTTTCATCACAAATTCACAAAATAGTTCTGTTTATAGTCTGCACTTTCCTTCAGAAGATTGGAACAAAATTAACATTTTTTTTAGTAAAAACTGAAAATTGACTCAAATTTTGTCTGTTGGTTTCAAAATTAGGGGTCATTTCCAGAAATATTGAAGAATATAAGAAAAAAAGGCAGAAAAATTTGGGCCAAGACGTCTGGTGGTGAAAAGGTTGATAGTGCTATGTATCAGTGTATTGGCGTTATTTGGGATATTAAAAGCGAGATCAACTTTGAACTGTTATGTTTTTACTCAGATAACGTTTTATTCCACCACACTTCACTTAACCACCGACCACAATATCAATGAACAGTAAAATACCACAAACCATTAAAGACTGTGCAAAACACAATATAATATGCTATGGGAAAAAAGAGCTGATCTTCTAGGGAAAAAAATATTTATTTAACTATATATTTATATAATATATGTAATTGATAGGAAATACTTTGCTCCACACATATTATTTTGGTTATAATACGACTTTTTTGTATATAAGGTCGATGGCGTAAAATACTAATGACTAAAATCTAAAGCTAAATATTACCAGGAGCGGACACACGGGTATTTTCACCGCCTGGCAACCATCACGGTGATAACAAAGGCCGAAAACTCTTAGAAAACGGTACTTTGGGATGGTTGTTGAGATTCCCGTGAACTGTGTAATAATATGTTGAAACACATGGTACAGTGGTGCGCGTCGTAGAAACGGAGAACGTTCTGTGACGTAGCTCCGCCCTGAAAATAGCAATTATTTTAGTTACATGCAACAAGTTCGGTAAATGATGAGGGAAGGGGCAATATCTGGCCACGGCAGTAAACGCTACATTTTGTAGCGATTACCCCCATTTATAAGATTAATGGAAGATCCTGAATCAAAGTGCTTAAAGGGCGGCAGTCGTCGCGCCGCGTCCTGTTCGATATGGGACTCATAGCGACGTATACAACGCGTGTAAAATACATTGTTTATTTACATGAAATTCCAACACGCGCTGCGCGACGACCACTGCGCTTTAACACGGATTATCTTTTTCCATAAAAAGTTGTCTAAGTACTTCACTCAAATAAAATGTCCAGTTTCATATATATATTCTAATCTCTGCTTTCGCATT